TGTTAGAACATTTCCCCTCTCCTCAAAAGTAACAAAACAGCACTGCACACTCACTACTTAATACTTTGCTTCCATTCATATCCTGAAGTTCTTATCCAATCTGTTTTAAACCTCACTTCTCTAAAATTAATGCTTTTATTCTCTGACTAAAACCAAATTATGTTTAATAAGATTTCTTAAGAGAATTTATGAACCTTTGGCTATTTTCCACAAAATTATCTATGTATATACATTAAATGCATTTTTTCTAGCAAGAGGGTTGATATTTTTCAGTCAGTATGAAAAATATAAAACAATGACATAGAGCAATTTTTTAATTCTTTTTCTATGTGGATATTTTCAGAATAAATGATTTAAGGTAAACAAACATACCAATGCAATGCAGTTAGGTAAAACCAGGAAATGTATTTCTAAAAAGGTTCTCCTACCCTTTTTGTTAGATGTAAAATAGTTTCTGGATCCAATGCAGAAGCCATTTGGGCAGTACCACTGAATGCACTGACAGTGAAAAAAAAATGGAGTAAACCTGTAAGAGACTGTCTTTTCTTTACATTTGCTGGTTCTCTAATTTTCAATAAGCTAAACTTTATCTTCAGCCGAAGTGGAAGACTAAATATGTTTATCTAAGAATCACAAAATCTTAGCACTTGATGAAAATATGAAAACCAAGATGGGAACCAAATTGAATCTCTCTCCCAAAATAACATAAAATTATCACTACCCAAAGCAATGAAAATAATGTGATTAGTTGAAAAAGAATCTGAAATTTTGTGTACTTATTAAAATGACAAAAGACCATTTTCTGAACATTTTGGCTTGGAATTTTGAGTTTTTAAATTTTAGCCCCTACATCACCAGATTTTTATTCTGTAAGTTCCTATATTTCAAAACAGTTACATTCATCATGTATGTGATAAAATTTAATTTCTGGTTTCCAGACAGCTGACTTGTCCCTTGTCATTAATGAGTGGTAAATACAAGGTCATCCTTATCAGAACTTAGTTGAGGAATTTAAAAGAAAAGTCAGAAATGAGTTACTTCCCAGTAAACAAATCCCTGGTGAATTTACCAGCTCTAGTCAGTCAGCCCAGCGCTGGTGGGAACTTTTATGCATACACATACACACACACCCCAAAAATAACACTGTTATCAAATAAATTTTTTTCTGCCTCCTCTTCTTCATTTACCTTCCCATTTACTCATTATTTCCTTGCCATTATTGACTATTATCTTTCTTCAGAGGTTTAGTCACATACTTCCCTATCAGCCTTGCCCTATCTTCTTTTTTGTTTGTTTTTTTGGCCATGCCAAGCAAGGCATGTAGGATCTTAGTTCCGCAATCAGGGACTGAACTCACTCGGCCTTAAGTGGAGGCACTGGAAGCTCGGAGTCTTAACCACTGGACTACTAGGGAAGTCCAGCTCTGCCCTTTCTTCTGCCCAAATCCCCAAGTTTCCAAGACTTTCTGGGTCATAAAGTATCTTAGAAAATTGAGATTCTGCATAAAAGTATATATGCATATGTGAAACTTAGAAGAAAAATATAAAAAATTATATTTACAGTATACTTAAAATTCTCAATTAAAAAATGTAGAATAATTTTTAAAGAAAAGAGAATGGCTAATATTTAGCAATAAAATGTTACATAAACAACAGGCATTGCAAATAACTGGCAGAGTTTTCTTTTCATACTCTGGATAACAAGAAGCTTACAAAAATGAGAGGCCCATATACGATGTTTAGGACCCAATTCTTTTTTCTACTCTATCTTGACTACCTCCTGTAATTTATAATTTTAATGTCCCTGTGCTTATCATAAACCTTATAATTCAAATCCTTTGATGTTCAGAAGTCTTTGAATGAGTAAAACTGAGATCAGCGAAGAAAACAACAAGGCAATATTTCCAGTTTATCAAGTAATAGCTTATAACTCAGCCTCATCACAAAGGATTATGTAATCAGATTCAAGCAATACTCCGAACAACTATGTTTTTAAAACCTGGGTCTCTGATTTTAGATACGATGCCATCTGAAGATTTTTTTTAAAAGATTATAAAGATTGTGTGTGTGTGAAGTCGCTCAGTCGTGTCGGACTCTCTGCGACCCCATGGACTGTAGCCTATCAGGCTCCTCCATCCATGGGATTTTCCAGGCAAGAATAGTGGAGTGGGTTGTCATTTCCTTCTCCAGAGGATCTTCCCCACCCAGGGATCAAACCCAGGTCTCCCGCATTGTAGACAGACGCTTTACCATCTGAGCCACTCTTGCAAAAGCAATACAGTTTACGTAACAGCACTGCTGCTACATGAAAATGTCTGATCAAAAGTTGTTCGGACAAAATTTACTTGCCGAGTTGACTATAATAATCAAATCTCTTCTGGGTTCAGAACAGGAATAAGTGAATGGAATTTCTACAAGGAAGAATCAAAGAAACACTGCATATAGTATTACAATACTTAGAGCATACATGTAGAAATCAAACACTTGGGGATAATACTTGCTGTAGGAATTTTTTTTTTTTAAAGATTTCACAAAAGACCAAAAGAAAAAGAAATACTTGGATTGTTACCCCTTCTTAACCTGAAATTCTAAATAAGAGAAATTTTTTGAAGAATTATAAATGAAATACTATCTACATATTTCTATATTATTGCCTGGTGATTTAAAAATGAAAATATTTTATTTGAAATAAAATCTGTTACAGCAAATACCACATCTGATAAATATGAAAGCTTCTATTTGCTATCCTATCAAGTGGCTAAGACAAAAAAGAAATCACTACTTTTGAGAACTGAAGTATTTTTATATTTACAAGTACAAACAAATAAAGCCAGAAAGATCTGACACAGAATAAGACAGTTAATATTCTATCGTCAAGTAACAGATAAATTCAAAGAGTTGAAGTATGCTAGCAATGTCACTAGCCTTGACCAGATTTTAAAAAATCAGTTATTACCCTGAGGTTCTGTTACTGAACAGGAACTCTCACATGTATAAGATGTGTAAGAACAATCTTTAGGTGATGAGCCCAGAAATAAAGTCTGGGATTCTGCCGAGACTATTTCTCCTACAACACAATGGCAAGGCTTTTGTGTGACACAGAAGCAGATCTAAATTTCTTGCCAATATCATGTTCCTTTTTTTTTTTTTTGCAGCATATGAATGAAATCATCCTTCTCTTGGAAAGACTGTTAATTCTTAAGAAATAAACCAAGCAGATGGAGAACCAATACAAGCAACACTTTGGTTTCTGTGGTCGTATAATTAAAAAATAAAATGAGTAATTGATGAGAGAGATAGCTCAAAAAAGGGAAATAACTAGACTGACTTCCATGGGATTAGAGCTGTATTTGATGAGTTTGGGCCCATTTAATATCCCTCTGCCTCCCATCCCTGCCCACCCGCCCCCCAGCTTCTCTTCTGCAAATAAGTGCTTTATATCATGAAGGCTAGCAAGTACAAAGTATTATAATAGCTTTTTTTATTTTACTGTAATTTTTTTTTTATTTTGCCATAATTTTTATAACTCCTATCAAGTTTAAGTTTTGGCTACAAACTGAAAAAAACTAAGAAATGCCAGATTTTAAGTTTTGCAACATGTATGTTCACATAAAATACCTTTATAAATATACATGTACCCTTAAAAATGGTCAGTAATGTGCACAAAAGCATGAAATAATTTTGAGTTCTTTTCAAGGAAAAAAAATCTCTCTTCGCTTACCAAATAATGCTAACCCTTCCTAATGACAAGCACCAAGCACTTCTTGAAGAGAATAATGTCAAAACCAATCATATTCCAAAATATATCATTTGTAGAGATAAAACATAAAGCTCGCATATTAGCTTGGAATTTATATTATACTAATTTTACGCAAACATAAATTACCTAGTGAATTAAAAAGAAGTCACTTACACAACCAGGTGAAAGTAGATAAACAAAAGAAAACTGTTTATAAATGGGCAATATATTAATTAGTATTCTGTTCTGCTTTAATTAATTTAAAAGAATCATTAGCTAAATCAACTATGTAAAATATAATTTAACAATATTCGAAACTGTGTGAAGATTTCTGTTTATCTAAGATATTTTAAAACTTGCTATAATTAGTTGGATAAACTGGTTTTTCCAGACCTCATAAAAATAAGCTGTAACCCATATTTTGTTTAATTATTACAAATATTGAATTGGTGAGGTTTAACTTAATAAGACTTTACTATATCTGCAGTATTAACTAATTCAGATAAGGAATTATTACATTTAATTAAGGCTCGCTTTAATTTTAAAATAGTATCTTATACATTTCTAATTTGTCTGCAAAATCCTTTATATTTTCAATTTTATATATGGACATTTATTTAATAGAACACATCACTGTCTTTGCAGTTGGATTTTACTACTATACTTTATCTGAACTGAGAAGAACTAGCCAACAGATCAAACAATTAAGAGCTTATACAATTTGAGGTTGCATCTTCAGAAACCCTTTACAGAAAGACAGAACAGCAAAACTATGTCAAAATTCTCGCTAAGCTAAATTCTGATAATCTCTCAAATTCAGAAACAATGAATTTCAGTTAAAATACATAACTTCTACAAAATACATTCTCCTTAAGAGCTTCTATTTAAAAAAACTAAAACAAAAAACAAAAACCTCCGGCACCCAAGTACAGTTAATACTTCTGTCTAAACCTCATTCTCTTCCCAGTTTTCTCGTTTTTGTCATATTTTCCCCCATTAAAGTAAGCACATTGTATTTTGGTTTCTTTTCTCCCTCCTCATTGTTCAGATGAGCATTTTAATAATCTTTTAAGCCATGCTGTTCAAAGAAAACAGGCTATTTGAGGGTAAAGAAAATTCTCTAAATTCAATGTTTTTCAACATGAGATCATTTTCCTACACCTGTTTATTAAATATCCACGCAAAGCAAACACTGCAACTGTAAACAGCTACTGAAAATTGGAAGTTTAAAAATAAAGCCGTTAAAACACTTCATTACACACCTTCTCTGTGAAGCCCTTTGTTTCCACTGAAAACCATACTGGAATCCTTGTACAAAAGAAGTTGCCTTCTGGCTGTCAATAGCTATACAGTCAGTAACTGAGGGATCCAGATGTCTGCAGTGGTTAAAACAAATGTTCAGCCGTGGGTGCTGATTTCGCTTCGCTCTGTGTAAGGTTTTTCACAAAGGCAGCAGAGTACAAGCGCACATAGCAACAGCACTCACAGCTGATTGGATGGAGGGTGTGCTCCGCCGCCCCTGCTCGTTGGGTCCACTACAGCTTCCCTTCTACTTGGCAGCGCTATCTTGTTGTCTTTGCTCCTCTTACCAACTCAGCTGTGTTTAGGCAACGTGAAAGGAAAGATTGGTGTGAAGATAATGACAAAGTATTCTAGCATGAGCCCCTAAAATGTGCGTCTCTGGGTACTTTTAAAATGGAGAGAAATTCATAAGGCAAACATTCACTTCAGTCGGTGTTTCACATAAAACAGAGGACAAAGAGGGGTGGTGGAGGGAATCAATTTATTACTTCGCATTTCAAGTAAATCAGGTTCTACCATGTGAAACCCTCTGTAAACAAAGAATACAAAAATTTAGGACAATCAGGATAAAGCATCAACCTCTGTCTACCCAGAACTATGAATTACTTTACAACAAACTTCACAAATTCCAAGAAAAGCAAGATTAGTTAGTTAAAACAAGACAAAGCCTAAAAATAGTCCTCCCTCAAATTTATGCAGTGCCTTTTAGAGGGTAAGAAAAACTGAGGTTAACAGATTGCTTAGAAAAAATTGCTCAGTAAACTCTGACAATAAAATATTTAACTAGGTATCTGCATTAAAATATCTCTTCTTATACAAACAATGACAAAAAACATAAAACAATGACACTGAGTCTGAATTAAATTTATTTTTCAGGAATTTTTTTCCCTCTAGGAAAAATGTTTGGGGGAGTCAATGCAGATAGTAAGAGATAAACAGATATGAAGAATCAGAAAATTTTCTCATTTAGGAAATATTTCCCATGAACTTCACACAAACTAGGATAGTGTTTTTCAAACTTTTAAAGCAATGGAATCCTTTAAATTTGCATTCTTCCAATAAAATGCATTATTCGTGGTGGCATTAGGATTTCTATACAGGAGAGAGTAGGCAGAGGCAACAGCAGAAGCATACTATTTATTGCTCAGATCTTTGTTTATGTGGAGTGTCTTGCGGATAGGGCAGACAGGCTGATGGAAATGTTGGCACTATGAAAGCACCCCATGAACACCATGAGACTATTTTTAAATAAGAGGCTACAAACAACACTGCAGTTTCATATCAGTCCCAGAATCTACAAAATTCCTACCCTTGAAAAAGCTTTTAGGATCCCTGGAGTTCTATAGAATACAAGAGATATAACCTTTAAGAGTTAAACCTTATTACCTTAGTAGTATAAGGAAGAACCTGATCGTTGTTGGCTGAACAATTAGCCAGAAGGAGAGCTGCTAAGCCTTTTGAGAAATAACGAGAGAGAGATGTGTTTGGGAGCACAATAACCTTTGAGCTAAGTGATTCAGAGAAAGAATGGCAGAGTAGAGAGAATAAGGATGTTGGAGTCAGGCTGACCAACTTGGGTTCAAAATATGAACCTGCCATTTACAAACAGCAAGACCCTATACAACTTACTAAACTACTCTGAGCTTCAGTTTTCTTGTCTATAAAATGTAATTAACTCACAGGACTATTGTGAAGGCTAAAAGGTGCTCTTTACTAGTCAGACTGCTTTTTTTGGTGACCAAGGATTCATAAGGTTCTTCAAAACTTAAGAGCCTTTGCAAATTCTATTCCTCATTTGCTTGGAGTGGGCTCCCACAGTCCCTTCCACTGATAAGTCTCCCTTAAATTTCTCTTCCCCAGGGCAGCTTTCTCTGAGCCTAGTCTCAGTATCCCTATACTTTTTTCTTAGTACTTAGCTCACAAAATGTTAAATAATTATTTGCAAAATGACTGGTTGGACATTCTCCTCCACCACACTGTAAGTGCTTTGAAGGGAGACACTACAACTGTCTACATTATTGCTTACCTAGTACCATGACTGATTTATATTCCATATACTACTTTATTTGATTTCATAACCATGGAAAGTTAAATAGAACAAGTTCAAATAAGAATATCAATTCCAAACATTTATTTATTCAAGTCATACAACCAGAACCAAAGGAAACAGATTTTTAAAAATTTTTGGATAAATAATTGCATAATTCAAAATTAACTTCTTCCTATATCTTTGAAAAAAAGAATATATGATCTCTAAACTGTTTTATAATACTTCCTTTCAGTTAAAATTCTTAAAATTTTTAATTGAAGACTAATAATAGCCAGTTTCTATAATCTAAAACTATTAACATATTCAAAGAGAACTTATTAAAAGTATTAAATTTAATCAGAAGCATGTAATTACAAGTGAATAAAATGAACTGGAAGAGACATGCTACCTTAAAAAGTAAAATGCAACCATGAGATTTATTTAGCAAAATGCTTCCTCTGCTACCAGTTTTCTAAATGATAAATAAATTTCAAAATGGCACTTTATATTATAATTCTGAAGAATGGTTGCTTTTCCCCCTGGTTCATTGTGGTACACAATGCTATAAATAATCTCAACAGTCAACAAGTTAAAAATCTGAATAATATATCAATAAAATGCTATACTAAGTACTAGTCTCAGGTTCTCAATTCTCAACCCTCAACCAGGGAAAAAAATTCTTTTTGCCCAGTATGGTCATAATTGTGTTCTCCAAATGGGCCAGTTCAAGAAATGTAAATTATTTATATTATACTAATGTAAGGAAATAAGTAGGATGCAGATCTCCCATGAGTTTAAGCTACATATTCCAAATACAGAATGGAAAAATTTGAAATATTAACTGTTTCACATTATCCGTGTCCTCTGTTAGCAGAAATAATTGAACTATCTACTTTTAGGATGCTGTGCTTAGTCACTCAGTCATGTCCGACTCTTTGTGACCCCAAGGACTGTAGCCCGCCAGTCTCCTCTGTCTATGGGATTTTTCAGGCAAGAATATTGGAGTGGATTGCCATTTCCTCCTCCAGAGGATCTTCCTGACCCAGGAACTGAACCTGTCTACGGTGTCTCCTGTATTGCAGGCAGATTCTTTAGCCACTGAACCATCTAGGAAGCTTTTTAAGATACCTTATCTTTTCAGGTATCTAAGCCTTTTAAGATTTCTCTTTTTAAGAGATATCTTTTAAGATATCTGTCTTTAAGAGATAACCATGCTAGCTTGGATAGTTTTTAAACAAAAAAGATACATTGCTAGAAGAAAAAAAAGAACCCTTCAAAGGTAATTATGACATTGCATGGGTCGCAAAGAGTTGGACACGACTGAGTGACTCCACCACCAACATATATATCGCAAGAGTTGGACACAACTTAGCGACTAAACCACCACCACCACCACTATATATGTAGGCCCATGGGCCAGACATGGTGCTGATTTCTTTACATGCCCATCTCCTCTGACTCTGGTAGTTACTATCCTCACAGACGAGGAAACTGCTTTATAACCTGCTCAAGTAGGCAAAACTAAGTGGGCAAAGCCAGGACACAGGTACTCCTAAATCTGTGTGCTTTTAACAACCCCTTTCATAATTATATTTCCATAATTATATTTCCTAAGACAAATATGGCATCATGTAAGAATAAGCTTGAAATACAAAAATCTCAAGCTAACATTTTCTATTTATTATTCATTCAATAACCACCACTGCAGCCCCATTACACCTCAGAACTGTCATTGATGCTACAATACAGAAAAACAGGATGTGACTGCTAAACAGGGAGCCAGGCTATAGTTACATTAAGGACACAATGAAAGGTTCAATCTGTGAACTTCACTACTTTATGATCACAGATCACATACCTGATTCAGAGAGTAAAGGAGGTAGAAATCCATAGGATCTGGGTTCTAGACTAAAGTCTACCTTAAGTACTTCTCTGAAATTGTTCATTTCTAAGTCAGAAATCTTTTTTTTCTTCTTCTCTTGACCACAATGTTGGTATGTTGTAAGGATCAAATGGGACAAGATACAATAATTTTGAAAAACAGCACAAAAAGGATATTGTCATCCCTGGTGGTAAGTCTTCTAGGGGTTGACAGTGTAAACATGTTTGCACAAAATACAACCTAATTACTGAAATATCCCTTAAAGCAGCAAGACAATGGAGAAGAGCTAGAGTGTCTAAGGTTCAAGTTCTTTCCACTTAAGAAGCTGTGCTGTCAAATGATTTAAGCTGTCTGAGTCTATTTCTTCATCTGTAAAGTGGCAGTAATAATTTCTCTAGAGTTATGAGCCATCAAGCCCAATACTTGGCTCTCAGTTCAGTTCAGTTCAGTCACTGAGTCGTGTCCGACTCTGCGACCCCACAGACTGCAGCACACCAGGCTCTCAAGCAATTTAAGTTTCCTCTTTTCTTTTGCAAACACCAGTTCTATGTTATTAAACAACAAACGTACATTCATTCATACACACACACCAACAAATAAAAGGGTAATACATTAGTAGTATCCCATATTAATATCAATAGGGATAAAATTTAAATCTAGACTATCCTAGAAAGATTTTTATGACACTGACATTTTTCCAGTTTGTTAAATAATGTCACTTTAACAACACATTTCACAGTTCACTAACTTATTTTCAAGAAAGACTAAATAAAACTAAAATTTACAATTTGAGGAATTAAGAAAATTTATGGTTTTTCTCATTAAATCAGTTTTTATTCAAAAATTATGCTGCTAGGTCAGTACTGGATAAATTAAGCCATAAAAGGCTACATTAATTTCCACTCACATGGAGATTTCCAGTGATCATTATTGCTGAAATGATTATCCAGTGATTTGTATTCATTATCACATGGTACAAGTAAGCCAAGTGACTATACAATCCAAACATATTGTGTTTTTAAGACCTAAAACATTTCATAAATTTGCAGTATTAAAAAGAACCTAAGAGTTTAATTGGGATTCTCA